TTTAATAACCACATGATTAGAAGAAGCATTTCATTACAGCTTTAACATATTCAGTAACACATTCCAGAGAAAGGATACATCTCTTTCAAGGGGGCTGTAAATTTTTAGGTTCACAGTTGAATTAATATAGTCATACAATATTGAACTCAGTATAAACCCTGTAGGATATAAAATTGAATGAGTTTTTACCCTTTAAAGAAGATCTCCATTTCACTTTAAAATAGGCAATGTCCTACATTTTTAATGCTACGAACGCTTAGATGTTTGTACATGTGTCTTTAATTTCTATGTATCTGATGATTACTAGTCACAGTTGGTTACACTTGGATCCTTAGCACCTGAGTATGGATATAAAGTCATCAGGTAGATTTCACTTGTAATGTTTATCACTTCTACTATTTAACATGAAGTAAATTTTTATGCTTCCTCCTCAAATATGTCTTTAAAAAAGTTTGTTGATTTTTCTGTGTGTATGTCATACAGAACATCCCACACAATTTTATTCATCTATATACCCACTTCCCAAATGGCACCCTCTCATAGCCTCCCCCCTTCCACACACTGGAGCCCATATACTTTGTCATCCCAGTTACTGTCCACTGTGTTGTTGGCACCCCCAGCCATTCCCCAGTGCTCCTCTGTCTGCTGAATCTAGTCAGCCTATATAGAGATCCTTGTTTCAGGAAGATCAGCTCTTCCTCAATCTGTTGAAGCTAGTCAGCCTATATAGAGTTCCTGTCCTGCTGTTCCTTTTCCCAGTTCTATGCTGGGTTACTGTCTGGGAGTCTTTTGAGACACCTTGGCCAATAACTCAAAGGACGGTATCACCTGTCTTGCATTGTTTCTTGTTATGTAGCCTTTAGCTATACATATGGACTCTTAAAAATTATATTGACCCCATTAATCTTTGCTTATACTTTCCTTTTGGGTGCTTAAGACCTTACGGTTGGCCCAGATAAACCAATTTATTTTTACTCTTAAGGTTGTTTGAGGATCTGTTCTTCAGGGGTAACATGGGCTTGGGAGGAGCCCCTGGCTCCTTTCTTTTAAGGTTTCTGTCTATGTGAAGATAAGTCAAAGGTCCTACTCGACTATGGCTGGCTTCACTGGAAGCATGGAGGAAATGATTCCTCTGTGTTGACCCTCCCCTTTGTAGACTGGACACTGGTTCAGGTCCATCTGGTGGGGTCTCTGTGGCCCCCTTGCTCAAGAGGACAGGTGATTCACCACAGTTACAGAACATTTTGAGAGATGCTGAGAGTCCCCTGGAACTTAATCAACATAGGAGGGCAAGGAGCAAAAACTGTCCTTTATGTCCCCCTGACCAAATTAGTATAGGTCTCAAAGTATGGCTGTTAAACATCAAAGAAGGTTAGTTCCACCAGTCTGGTACTTTTAATTACCATATGCCATGTAGATAGAGCTTCGGCAAAGACCAAATGCTCTCAGCTAAACCTTGCCTAGGCATATATTACATTCTTTGATCTGGTTGTATGTATAATTTGTCAGTAGGCTGCTTGCCTAATATGGTTCCATCTGGTTTTCTAAAACTAGCTAGGCATTGTTTACCTCTCACATTGTTTAACGCTTCCACCTTGGTTTCCCCATTTAAGGTGCCCCCGTTTTTTCCATTTTTCCTTTAATAATACCCTTCTCCTATGATCCCATCTCTCTTGAGCTCTTCTTTCCCTTTATCCCCTCAGTTCCTTGTATAACCTCCCTCCCCCCCTTAAAATAACCCCATTATTGTCCATATCTCCCTTGTTAACACCTGTTTTCTACTGTTCTTCTCTTTCAGATACTTTCTTGTCCTTTACTTCCCTGGTTCCTCTTCATTATCCTGTTCCTCTAGTTATGTCTGGATACATATTCACTCATAAGGATTTGGTGCTAGGATCCGCATATGAGGGAGAACATATGCTCTTTTTTTTTTTTCCTGAGTCTGTATTACTTCACTTAGTATAACAGTTTCTAGTTCCATCCATTTATCTGCAAATTTCATGATTTCTTCTTTCTTTATTGCTGAGTAAAATTCCATCATATAAATGAACCACATTTTTATTATCCACACGTCAGTTGAGGGACACTTAGGATGCTTCTATCTCTTAGCTATTGTGAAAAGCAGCAACAAACATGGATGTACAAGTGTCTCTGCAATAGGATGAGTTCTTTGGGTATATGCAAAAGAGTGGTATAACTATATCAACTGGTAGGTTCATTTGTAGTTTTTTAAGAGTTCTCCACACTACTTTCCATAGGGGTTGAAAAAGTTTGCAGTCCCACCAGCAGCGGATGAACGTACCCCTTTCCCCACATCCTCTCCAACATTTGGTATCATTTGTTCTCTTGATCTAGCCAGTCTGACTAGGGTAAGATGAAATATTAAAGTGGTTTTAATTTGCATTTCCCTAATTACTAGTGATGTTGAACACCTTTTAAGATGCTTCTTAGCCGTCTTTATTTCTTCTTTTGAGAACTCTCTGTTCAGTTCCTTAGCCCAACTTTTAACTGGGTCACTTCCTTTCTTGATACTTTGTTTTTTGAGTTCATTATAAATTATGGATGTTAAACCTCTGTCAGATGTGTCGCTGGTGAAGATTTTCTCCCATTCTGTGGGTTTTCACTTCCCTGGTTGCTTCTTTTGATGTACAGAATCTTTTTCGTTTAATGAGGTCCCGTTTGTTGATTCTTGACCTTGTTTCCTGGGCAGTTGATGTCTGGTTTAGAAAATCCTTTCCTACACCTATATCTTGTAGGTTTTTGCCAATGTATTCTTCTAACAGTTTCAGAATTCAGCACTTTACATTAAAGTCTTTGAGCCATTTGGAATTGACTTTTGTGCAGGGTGAAAGATAGGGGTTTAGTTTCATTCTTCTACAAGTGGAGATCCAG